CAAACTTAAATAAATTAAGCCTCTGTGTAACCTGGTTAGGTACTGACAGGATGTTTTACAGAAATGGAAGAATAAATTAGAAAAAAGGCTTCTGCTCTCTCCAAGGATGGTACTAGCACATCTGGCAAAGGAGTATCACAGTTATTTAAAAAACAAATGAGCAAACACCCCACTCCCCACAAAAAAACCCCCCACAAATTTTTAAGCCGCTGGCAAAACTACTAATTTACAAATAGTCCTTAATAAAATTTCTTAGATAAAGTATGGAATTCTGATTGCCAGAGAGTGCATTTCTATATCTTTGGATATTTATCTATATAGACTGAAATTTCTTGTTGTCATCTGCATTAGATATCTAGATTTACTTAACTTATTTTTCTTTTTATGACTACATACATGGAAATATCTATTGTTCATGCTCACTGCAGGGGACTGGACTAGATGACCTTTAAAGGTCCCTTCCAACCCAAACCACTCAATGATTCTATGACCAAGGGCAGATTTGATGGAAAGGATATTTATGCTAACTCCATTCCTACTCAGGACATGTAAAGAGACTTTGTTTTTAAGAAAAACTCTCAGCAATCAATCAGTCTTACATAGCCCAGTTAGTTAGGGATTCATTTTGACCTCTGAAAAATTTTATCAACATTAACTTGTTATCTAGGGATATTTTTAAACCCAATTATCAAAGGGCTATTTTGATCACTCTTACCTAGTTAAAGCATGCAAATTCATACTTTTGCATGCTCTGCTTGAGTTACAACAGATTCAGTGTCCAGTCATTACCTGAAACTCAAACACTCGTACCAACAGATATAGAAAATCTCCCTCACCCACAATGACGAGGACTGTGCAAAATGCTAAGGTAGGTTAATGATTCATTTCCTTGTGCGAATTTTTCCAGTGTGACAACTCAATCCTATCTTTTTTCCAAGTATCCTTCCTCCATGTTTGAGTACCTTTTCAAATGCATGTAACTCTAATTAAACTATGTGCTGTTCTGGACTGGCTGGAAAGAAGGTATGTTTCTCTCTAAGTAGAACATGTCACTTTACCAGAATTACTTAATTAAAATGGAAAACATAACAGACTAAAATACGTATCTTATTTAAGACACTGTTAAATTCGCTTAATAACTTCAGGACAAAACTCAGAATATGAATAGATATGTATAATCTTGTCTTCTTAAAATGGTTTTTGCGCAGAGCTAGGCTGCACACTGCCAGCATATCTGGAATAACCTGAACACCCCCACATGAGAGGCTTTAGGGTAACATGAGGGTTTCAGTCAGAACCAGACAGAATTTTCCCTGTTTAGATGAAGATGCATAGAGAAAACAGTGGGTGAACAGAGAATGTTTTATTCAAAAATCCAAGGAAATCACATCTAAGCTCCTGGCAGACCTGTCCATCATTTCGATCATTATGTTGACCACAGCTGTCACAAGCAAGCCCAGCCACCATTTGACACATGACTATTCTTGTATTTTATTGTTACTCACCTACATACAGACAGCTGGCAAAATATACCAAGGAGTTTCTCCACTAGTATCTCAGGGTGCACCTTGCTTTGAGGTCTAAAAGCTGATCAAGAAAATCAGTCTAATGCTGTTTAGAATGGTTCCATTTCCTCATAAAAATGGATGAAGGAGACAGAACAGAGACTGTCCACAGGAGACAGAGAATTAGCTAAAACCCTCAATGCTACATTTAGTAAGTGGAATATTGCATATATGTAAGAATGTCCAACTCTTCCTTCTTACTGGGTATTTGGCAACATCAACACCTTCCATCTAACCGTTATTACTACATTTTCTACTCTACAGAAATAGTCAAAAATACACCATCTCTCCAAATGTTAATGAAACTTTAGCCCCTAGCTAAGATGAATCATTTTATTTGTTCTTGTAATCAAAGTGGAATACATACAGGCACCTTGCTAGGTTTTACATAAATTCCTTCTGAATAACTTTTTGAAGGCTTTTACAGGGTCTCATTATGGGTAGATCTGAAATTTTTTATCACTGCTCAGAACTGGAAATCAGTTTTCTGATAATTTAGTTAGCAAATGATAACTGATTAAAATTTAACTTGAAAGTTTATCACATGCCTTCAAGTAGATAAGGGTTCTTATCTTTCAGTTTTTCAGAAAGTACTCAGGCTATGACAACCCTCCTCTAACACATCTCTCACTCCACATGCTTTCTCTTTCCCATTCTTTTCTAAAACATTATTAGTGGAATTTAAATGCACAGTGGAAAACCTAATTTTTTACTAACTTAAATGACCAAGAACTACGCTGTGACTAAAATCGGTTATAAGAAAAATCACCATTGTCTCCCTTTCTGAATCCATTAGTAGCATGTAAGACTGTGGGTAAGGAAAGCACTAAATAAGAAGTGGGTTGAGGCCCTTGTGAAGTTAGATTATTAAGAACCTTAATGAACCAATCATAAAATTCTTTCATTAAGAGCGAGGTCTCTTGTGTAGCACACTCAGCTTTACATTTTGCTCAGAAAATTTGAAGATTACACTCCTCTTCTATTAGAAACGTCACTGATGGCACACATATATTGGCCTATGCTAAGATAAAAACACATGCTATTTATTTATTTATTATATTTCATGTCCTAGATACTGCCCAACTTTAAATGATACTGACAAATCTGTCACTTGTACAGTTGTGTGGTCTGTATAATTCACTGAAGATGTCTCCAACTGTCTATAGAAAATTTCTCCCACAACATAGGTAAGTAATGGCTAGAAAATTCAGTAAAGGAATTTTAAATATTGAAGAGTAGATTTTTTGTATGGGAACATTCACACAAAGTTCCAATATTATCAAAGAATCAAAAAATTAATAATTATCCATACAGAATTGCCATATGACACCATTAAAATATCCTATTCTATATACTCTTGCTTCAATACGAAGCAGAAGTATTAGACTTAATGCTTATAAAGCATTTTTAATCATCACAAAGCTTTAAAAATAATAATTAAACCTCATAATGTGTCTGATGTCTCACAAATTATAGCTCTGAATTTCTAGCTTACATCCTTACCCAAACCTCTCACTCCTAAATACCTTCTTTCCCATAAAAACATCACAGATATGCACACATTCCTGCACATGCACTTCTAACTGTGAGAAACCTTCCTTGGTTTCAATCCACACTGTCATTCATCTGCACTATCAGGCTCAGCTGTTTCCACCTGCAAATGCCATGATAATATTAAAACCCCTTACTTTTTCGCTGGGGAAAATAGGAGAGTTTTGCCTTTTTTCTTCCTTATTTTCTTTGCTCAAAATTCATGCATTCCTTTACTCAACAGTCAAACATTTTAAAAAAAAACCAAACAACTGATTTTACATTTCTGATTATATTATAGATACTACACTTTTAGTTTAAGAAATTCAGGACATATCAGAAAATTTATCTTTGCAAGCAGTAACAGATTGTAATTTTTTAAAAATATAATTTAGACTTGAGAGAAAGCTTTTATGTTAGAATGCAAGTTAAAGGGACAGCAAAGTTGTTTCAGTGAACGGCATGGAAAGGAAATTTAAAATATAAAATCTCATCTTCTTATTAATACAGCATCGTATTATTATAGAAGAATCTATTTCCATTTTTGAATCTTTACTTTCAACTGCCCTCAACTTAAGACAATAACTAGGAGAGAGTTAGTATTACTCATGTGTGACAGGTAGGTTCATTTATTTATTTCCAGTTGTCTCTTGTAGAATGGCACAGTAATGAATAATTAACAAAGTAGAGAAGAAAAAAATAATTAATAATTCAGCTTATTGCTATGTTACTATGATACTACCAGTTACTGATGTGAAATATTGTCTAAAGTAAGTGAGGATATCAAGACAGGGTTTTTCAGCAATATGCTGGATTTATTTCTGAAGTTTCTTCTAAGTCTCACTTTCTGAGACCACCTAGACACAAGAGACAGGCATTACATTCACAGTCAGGGCATTTTTTTGTTATGCTACTTGTCCAAAATGCGTGCTGGAAGTGGAAAACAGTTCCAGGACAGACAGAAGACAAAATACCATTATTCTTTTATGTACATCATATAGATTATAGATGGAAAATCTTCTTAATAAGTGAAGTAAGGTAGTCAGAAGCAGTCGATGTACTGAGTAAGAATATACTTTTTGAAAATTTTAAGATTTAGGGTTTTCTGGGGACTCAGCAGAGACTGACAACCAAAAAAACACTTATCTTTCTATGACTCTTCTAACTCACTACAGTCAGTCATACTGCAAAGCCATTTAGTTGTAACTAGACATTTATAGTATAGTATAGGCTTATATAAGCTCCAGTTTTCAGAATCAGAAAGAAAATCCTCTCCTCCTCATTCACAACTCCCTGAGAATATTTATTTCAGATCCATACTATTAAAAATTATTTCACTCACACACATATGTTTAATTACAACTCTCCTTTTTTTCATTGTTGAAAGAGGTTGAGTCTCATTATAAACCCAAGATATATAAAGAAGGATTAAACAACAGTCTGCTAAATTAGTTTTGCTCTTTAACCCCTTCCCAATGCTTATTTTAATGCCACTTGCCATACAGCACTGACTTGTTTAGAAAAAAAATCACCTAAACTGAAGACTAAACATTGAATTTGCAACTCTAAGCCTACAGTAAAAATAAATTAAAAAAATCAAAACCAAGCCAGACATTAAAAGACAACCAAACATTGCTTACTGCTATGTGATGGAAAGGTTGTTACGGTAGAGAATTCCCTAGCTTCAGAAAAGAACTTACTTTTGATAGATATCTACGCAAATACTCACATCTATTGCAGCCTTGCAAGCACAGATACTGTACTTGAACATGGGAGGCATTTTGTGTATATTCTGAGAAAAACGTTTGTAATCACAAATCAGATGAAGACACTGTTGGCTTTCATAGTCTTGTTACAATTGTAGCTGAAAATCAAAGCCACACCCAAATTCTTTTTGCTGATGCATCATGAGGTAAATGACTCAGGATTTCTCCCTTAGAGACAGGGGCTTCCCACATCCAATGTTCTTTACTACGATAAAATTTACTATCTAGTAAAACCCTGCTCTAGTTTCCAACCATAGCTAATGGAGCAGATTAACCTTAAAAGTGATATTTAATGCCATTGCACAAAATAAGAGGTTTAAAGATTTCTTCTTAAAATATGGCTATGTTTTTCGAAAGCTGAGGTTTCCAATATGCCTAAAAAACTGTGGGAGCTTAAACCACCTCCAAAATAACTACAAGTTATGAATTATCAGCTAAAAAGAAGATAAAATAAACATTTCTACCACAAAGCAAAGGCTAAGATATGCTGAACAGGTGGCTAAACTCAGAACAAAATAAACAGTACTGAAAACTCCCCCCTCTCTCAAAGCACAGATCTGAAGAGTTGAGGTAACACTCACAGACAGGGCGATCTTTGTCTCCTGGAAAAGGGCATTCCATTTTTCTTTTCGGTACTGCTCCCATGCATCTGACAGAATCTCGCCCGCCTCCCTGTTTCTTTCTGCTTGTCCCTCCAGGATGACCCGAGCCCAGGATGAGATGCAGCTGTCAGTGTAATTGCAGCTGTGCCCCTGCCCAGTAGCATTTTCCTGACGGCATCAGTGGATGCCGTCTGAAACTTCCCAGGACCATACGATTTCTCCTGACTAATGTGGCTTTCTAACTGGGGGAAGGGAGGCAAGGATGACAGGCTGAAAAAGGCTTTTAAAAAGATACTGCTTGCAAGAATTACTGCACATTGATCTTATATGCAGCCATTAACAAGACTTTCCAAGCAACAGTATTTAAAAGCCTTGGTCATATTCTTCTGGCTGGTAACCCGCTCCTCCCGGGCTCAGACTGACAAAGAGCCAGGTGCTGACAGGGCTAATATTAGACAACGACTTCAAGGCAGTGAAACAGTCACTTAGATTTCCTACTCTGCTTTGACTGCCACAGGAGCGTAGACCTTGGTTTCTCCAGCGCTACTGGATCATCTGATTTAGAAGGAAGCTCCAAGAACTACTCTGAAGCCATTAATCTATTACTGTTCCCAGATATTTTCTGAAGCACAATATATAGCTAATTCTGCGTGCACCTACGTGTCCTGAAGAGTTAGGAAAGTTTTATAGCCTGTGTACGGTTCCGTATCACTGGATCTGTGACACGGGAAAGCTCATTCCTTTGCATTTTCAGCAGGTAGTTTCACATGTCACTGTGGAAAAGTCTGAGAAAGAAATACTACATACTAGACAAAGCTCTGAAACTTATTGGGAGCTCTGGATTATGTCTTCACCCATTCAAAAGCAGACCTGCAAATAGAGGTGAAAAGCTGAGCAGGACCTTTCTGACAAGGACAGAGATGAAAAATTCCTGAAAAACTGAAAGTGGTAAATGTTACATTCCCTGGAAGACAGAGTAACGGGATGGCCAGACTCTGTACCTGGAGCTTTGGGTGGGAAGTCACTGATGATGCAGGACATTGAACTAGGCTGATATAGGAAAACTGGTTTGTTTTATACCAGTTACTAACAACTCACAGATTTTACCCTTTACTTACGTTAAAAACTAAATTAATGAAATTAATGCATCTGACTGGTAAACTAGTGGAGTACTTCTGAAATGTTTTGGAAAACTCTTTAAAACACCAGCTCCAAAGAATTAATTTGTTTATCTATTATGAATCATGTTAATTCTGACTCCTAATAACAACACACTGTAAGCTAACATCTTTACTGAAGTAAAAAGCATCCAAGAAACAAACCAGGCACATTA